CTGGATTAAGGTCATCCAGAGGAACAAGAAGGGCTAATTGTTTCAGATGCACCATGTGGTGCCCTGTCCTAGGGGAGCAGCTAAGGGGTGTGCGGCTTATGTTTTTGAATAGGAGAGTGCTAAATTGTATTAATCCTGTATATATCTATCTAGAAGAAATTCCTATTTTTGCATTAGTAGTTTAAATAATCTACTGTAAGGGGCTGGTGGAAAGGATTTCAGACACAACTGAGGATGTTTCAATCATAAATGTTAAGTATTGTCCTAGACTTTTAAGGCCTTATGTAAAAGGGTACCCCACACTAGAACATGCTTGTGAGAAGAACCTATACCATCAAAGCTAGAAGGGACAATCATAAAAATATGCATTAAATATACTATAAATTTAAGTAAGACTAAAAACAAATTTCCAATAAATCTCCTGCCAAGTTTTAGAGACTGCACTTCACTGGATAACCATCCCAGAGTGCTGTACCTGGTTCCCAACTACTTCAACACAAGGGGTGCCTCTCTAACTATATCACTCTGAAAAATAAAGTAGGAAAACAAAGTACACATGCACCAATAGTATAAAGAAAGCCTCTTGTGTGTTATCACCGAATTATGAACAACTTTGGTCAAATGTAAATCAACTGAAGCCAAACTTTCCTTAACAAATCTAGCATCTGACAAAAGTGATGGACTCAACCATTGTTAATAATTGAAGACTAATTTCTGACTTGCCATCTACTGTCCAAATTCTTCTAAGAAAAAAGTATATATAAATATAAAAACATAGGTTTCATAAAAACCAGAAACATATCCTCATCACCCATGCCAGTCTGGCTCCAGGATGGGACGAAGTATCAATTGAGTACAATCATAAAAAAATGCTCGGCTCAGCTTATTCCTCTCTTGAAAATAATGTATACCAAATAGGCCTCTCTACCAGAATCCTAATAAACCTGTTGATACATTAGACCACAACATTCCGGTATTGTCTTCTTTTATAATATAAATATTACCTGAGTAACAAGGACGAATCAAAATATTACCATTAATGGACTGCTCTTTCGGGAACCCCAATTATAGGCTAATTAACACACAGGATTTCCATGAGGTTGTGACCTGGTTCCTCTGCTATTCCTTTTCTCCATCACTGGACCGCTTCTTAATGCTCACAGGGATTAAAACAGTTCTTTTTGCAGATGACACACGTTTTATTACTGCAAATAACTGACCCAGGTGCACTCGAACACTTTCAATGGTGAACTCATATGGAAGAAAAAATTTTCTTTGATCACAAACAAGATCATTTTGTATATTAAAAACCCTTTTAGAGGGTCCAAGCCACAAAGTCTGAAGTCACGCACCAGTGTCCAAGAAATTTTGAAAAAAAAAAAATTATTTTTTATTCTTACAGAATTAAAGGCATATTTTGTTGAAGGGTAATAATCACAAAAAAAAATTAGGATCTGATCAGTTATACTTACCGAGTACCAGTGACCAAGAAGCAGAAGTTTGTAGAAAAATGATGTGGGTGGCTGGCAACATCGACGGGAATTCCACATACGCATATTATATTATTTTGTGTTTGTTTTAGTTGTAAATAGACCTGCAGTGTTCTTCCATTGTTATGTTTTTAGTGGGAAGGATTGTAAAGGACCTGCCTAGTATGGGCCAGCAGGCCTACTGCAGTGTTCCTCCTTTCTTATGTTCTTATTGGAGATTTGTTTGTGTGAGGGAGGGATGGCAAGTTTATTGTTGGAGAATATGACACTAATATCAACTCTATGGCTTATTTATCTATCACAATTCAACTAATATGACATAATAAACAATATTAATAACATAGAAACATGGAATATACTCTAGGTGTTGTGCTGTGTTGTTGTTGGGTATATAAGGGCCACTGAGTGTAAGCCATCCATAATGGTAGTGAAGCAGCAGCTGAGGCGGCGGTGTTTTCTGTAGCCCTATATAACTCCAACAACATTGGAGAAGTTGGTAGAATCGCTGAATCACTAAAGAAGGAACCCTCTACCACCATCACTACGACCTTCTACCACTATTACAACTGTTACCACCATCACTACTACCTTCTACCACCATCGGTGGCCCGGTGGCCTGGTGGGGTGGCCCGGTGGCCTGGTGGCTAAAGCTCCCGCTTCACACACGGAGGGCCCGGGTTCGATTCCCGGCGGGTGGAAACATTCGACACGTTTCCTTACACCTGTTGTCCTGTTCACCTAGCAGCAAATAGGTACCTGGGTGTTAGTCGACTGGTGTGGGTCGCATCCTGGGGGACAAGATTAAGGACCCCAATGGAAATAAGTTAGACAGTCCTCGATGACGCACTGACTTTCTTGGGTTATCCTGGGTGGCTAACCCTCCGGGGTTAAAAATCCGAACGAAATCTTATCTTATCTTATCTTATCACTACCACCATCAACCACTATCACAACTGCTTCCACTCTACCACCACCACCACCTTTGTATTTTTCTACAAACTTTTTCATAAATTATGTGTTTCTCACATTCTTTACCAAAGGGCTGGCATTAGAAGCTTTCTTTGGAGCCATGGTAGCTTATTTAGCACTTGCAAGCACTAATATCAATGGAATATTATGAAATATTTCATAGGAGCATGTGAGGGGACCGTCGCTCACTGGTAAACAATGGCTCACTGGCTGGGAAGGCAGGCCCAGGCGGCTCAGAGCATGAGTACCCGTCCCGGACGAAGGATGATTAGTGAGTTAACGGACCATTTGCGAGCCAATGTTTAGACGAAATAACGGGACTATTTCCGAAATGGACGACTTTCAGGCCGGACAATTATTGAGGGACCACTGTATATAGTAGGCACAGCGATTCCAGGAACAGCTGTCAAAAATTGACCACTGTCTGGAAAATCTGCCAGCTCCTGCCCCCAACATCTTGCTCCTGGGGGATTTCAACTTGAGGCACCTAAAATGGAGGAATATAGCAAATAATGATGTTGCAGTGATAACACCAGGAGGCAGCTCTGACGAGAACTCACACACACGAGCTTTTAAATCTCTGCACAAAATTCAACTTAAAGCAGCAAATAATAGAGCCTACTAGACTGGAGAATACACTAGATCTCACCTTCACTAACAATGATGATCTGATACGAAATGTCACCATATCAAAAACAATATACTCAGATCACAACATAATCGAGGTTCAGACATGTATGCACAGAGCCCCAGACCAACAAAATGAGATTAGTCACGAGGGAGCCTTCACCAAATTCAACTTCAATAACAAGAACATAAAGTGGGACCAAGTAAATCAAGTCCTAAACAATATAAGCTGGGAAGATAGACTAAGCAACACAGACCCCCAACTTATGCCTAGAACAGATTAACTCGGTGGCACTCGATGTATGCTCAAGGCTTATTCCTTTAAGAAAAAGGTGGAGTACATGTAAAATAGAAAGAGACAGGCGCTCCCTTTACAGGCGACAGAAAAGAATAACAGAGCGGCTAAAAGAGGCCAATATATCTGAAATGCGTAGGGAGTCACTGGTCAGAGAAATAGCAAATATCGAACTTAAGCTAAAGGAATCTTATAGGAGTCAGGAATCGTGGGAAGAACTAAAAGCCATCAATGAAATCGAAAGAAACCCAAAGTATTTCTTTTCTTATGTGAAATCGAAAGAAACCCAAAGTATTTCTTTTCTTATGCCAAATCAAAGTCGAGACCAACATCCAGTATTGGGCCCCACTTAAACAAGATGGGTCCTACACAGATGACAGCAAGGAAATGAGTGAGCTACTCAAGTCCCAATATGACTCAGTTTTTAGCAAGCCGCTTACCAGACTGAGAGTCGAAGATCAAAATGATTTTTTTATGAGAGAGGCACAGAATTTGGTTAACAGAAGCCTATCTGATATTATCCTGATGCCAAATGACTTCAAACAGGAGATAAATGACATGCCCATGCACTCTGCCCCAGGGCCAGACTCATGGAACTCCGTGTTCATCAAGAACTGCAAGAAGCCCTTATCACAAGCTTTTACCATCCTATGGAGAGGGAGCATGGACACGGGGGTCGTCCCGCAGTTACTAAAAACGACAGACATAGCCCCACTCCACAAAGGGGGCAGTAAAGCAATAGTAAAGAACTACAGACCGATAGCACTAACATCCCATATCATAAAAAACTTTGAAAGGGTTCTAAGAAGCAAGATTGCCACCCATCTAGATACCCACCAATTACACAACTCAGGGCAACATGGGTTTAGAGCGGGTCGCTCCTGTCTGTCTCAGCTACTGGATCACTACGACAGATAATAATAATAATATTATTATTATAAAAAGCACTAAACCCACAAGGGTCATGAATTGCTATATATAGAGTAAAGGCATACGAAAAGAATATTTCTCTTCAGTTATCCCCCAGTGTTTGACTAGAGAAAACGTAATTCTTCAGACATTACCTACACAGCTGCTTTGTAAACAAATCTCATATTTACGTCAATTTTTATTCTGTGAGTGTATGTATCATGTTTATATGCTATGTAATGGGTTTCATATATAATTTTGAGGAAAATACCATAGATGGATTAATGAAAATGCCTATATTAATATAAAATAAGACATTTAATATGCCCAAGAGTGATTATTATTGCATAGTATTGGCGTCATGAATAGAGAGAGACCTAGCGATTTTAATGTGTACCTGCACACCAGCACAGTGTGTAAGTATATTTAGGTACAGGTACACATAAGTATAATTATCAGAGTACATATAAAATACACAGTAACTTTAAAACACTTGAAATTTTGGAAAGTTTCCTGACATAATAGATGTGGTTACGGAGAATGTAAAGAAACCGGGTGGGGGACGCCATATTTGAAAGACTGCTTGCCGTATAGCAAATTTTGGTCATAATTTGACATCGCCGTATTAGCGGAACGCCGCAAGGTGAAACGCCGTAAAGCAGGGTCCTACTGTATATATATATAAAGTTATATTTCGTTTACATACATACCTATCATGGCAAAACATTTCAAGGCTTCTCTTAGACTTTGAAGAACTGCCAGCATCACTACTTTTAAGCTTTAGGGCATTTATTAGCAAAATTAAAGGTTATTTTTGGGCCACAGTAAACCATGGATAGCTGAAACAGCAGATACTGAATACGCAGATACGGGGGTTCTACTGCAATTGCATTTAACATTTACCCAGTTATATTAGATTTGCTTTGACTGTACTGTATGTGTATTTTATCACTCTGGGGCACTTTAAATGTCGTATATTACCTGTAGGTGTGGTAGCCAGGCAAGCTACCATACCTATCACCTAACTTCCTACAATAAATACTACTCACCCCCCACCCTACATTAAGACTACAAATGTTTTAAGATAAGCACTGGGTGTACTATATGCATATTTTACTTTTTTGTTGTTTTTTAATGCCTAGGTATCTTAATATATGATAGTGTAAACATGTTATGAATGAAGCATTGGTATGCATTTATAAATGAAAAAAGTGAGATTCACCTTACGGCGATTTTCACTTTACGGTAGTAGCCTGGAACCTAACCCACTGTATAAGTGGGGCCCTACTGTATATTATTATTATTCTTACATTTGTGGGGAACACTAAACCCATAGGGGTCATGCAGTGGCTGAGGAAATAGGAGGCATCCAGGTTTGGTCCAAAGAAGAGCACAGGTCCAATTCCTTTGATCAAGGCTTCCCCTGCATTAACAAACCTTTCATTGGGCATGGAACATGGAAGAAGTATTTCTTGTGTAATTATTTATTTCAGGAGATATTAATGAAGATCAATTAGGTTAGATAAGGTATCAATTAAATTAGGTAATGTTTGATCAGGTTACAAAACCTAACCTGAAAGCGCAACCCATCTGTTAACATTTGCCTAGACACGACACTAGTATTACTATGTCATTTTATACAGTTAACAGCAAAACCGGTTAGAAGCACACACTATAACTCTCCTCACCTGTTTGGTTCGCCACTGCACCCTGGCCACAGAATCATTGTACGTCCTTCTGATGGCAGTGAAGTCGATGCTGGGATAAAGGATGGGTGGGGGCTGTAGCACCCTCAAGAGGCCAGTCTGGATCTCATTGTTGTAGCGAACTCCCAAGTCCAGGGCACGCTGAGACCTGCATGCAGAGAAAATAATTGAAACAGTTTATATTTTACGAGGAGTGATGAATGGACTAACAGGTAATGATATATAGTGTTTAAAAACAAGAATGGAAGGAAAGGAACCAAAGAGATAACAAGGGAAAGAAATATAAATTGCTGAAACGATGGATAAAGACACAAGTGTAGTATAATGTGATCCCTTATTGACAACATTTTGCCCACTGTGTGGGCAAAATGTTGGGGAGAAAGAATGCGTGATTATATAGGGAATGTCATGATGTGAAAAGTCAGGTGAGATATATTGAAGCTTCTTGGGTTACAATTTTGACAGATATATGACTTGTAAAAGGTTGGATTAGAGAAAAACCTGGCTAGCTTGAGACAGGTCTGTAACAGTTTTCCTCTCTACTGTGACCTGCTAGTGTGAGGTCAAGTTTGATTAAGAAGCTTCCTGACAAGAGGCTCAGAAAAACCATACCCCGGCCGGGATTGAACCCGTGGTCAGAGAGTCTCAAAACTCCAGGCTCAGCTATAGTGTGTAAGCCATTGTTTTGGGTGAAGTTGTTTGATATGCTGATCTGTGATAATTCCAGAATCCTGAGTTTCGATGTGTCTTCTTTGACAAATGAGTCGTGTGCCATTATTATCAAGTGGCTGTGAGAATTTGTCTAAAATACAGGCATTGTTCAGGTGGTTCATACTTCTGGCATACTGGTGTTCAGAAATGCATGTATGAAGGTCTCTAGATGTTTCTCCAACATTTATTTGGTTTGGAGTTGTTGGTGGTGTCACTGGTGTAATAATGTTGATAGAATTCTTGACAATATGTCAAGTGAAACGATACGTCATGTAGGTCTTTACCTGAGACTAGTACAGCACTGTGCGCTGTCTACATACAACATAAGTTTACACTTGACACTGATGGGTATGTCATTGACATAACATAAAAATAGTAAAGAGCCCAGAATACTGCTTTGAATTATTATGTGAGTAAATTACCTGCATGAGATTTATTATTACATGCAAGTAATTTGGGTGAGATAAGTGGGACTTAAGTCACAGTAGATCACCAATCTATAACCCCCTCGATGCCCACTTCTTCACCACTCTCATGAAAAGCTAGACCTGATATTAAATTAATAATTTCAATATTAAAACCATCTAATCTGGTAAATTAAAATTGTGGACTGTATATGATTAGGTTTGCTGGGTACACAAAATAAATTCATATTAACACTTACCATTTAATTATTGTAGATGGATCACACCACAATACTGGCCTGACACCTAGATCCTACACTGGCCAGCTGGCAATCTAAATGCAAGGGCTAATGGTGCACTTCCCTATGAGTGATAGTTGTATCCCTTATCTTCCGCAATCCACATGTAATTCTTGAGGTCCCGCAAGTTTCATGTCCCAATTCTTCAGCAGGGGACATTAACACGAGTTCCTATTACAAATTCAGGCTGAAACCTCCCAATTTGGATCAGAATTTCCACGACAACCAGTGCTCAAAAATTACAAAATGGGGTCTCCTTTCTGGTGTCACTACTGGCTGTTGTACATTCCCCTCACTCAAAATTTCTCAAAAGGGTCAGCTCAGCCTCATGTTTTATTACACAATTATTGTATTATTCAAATTTACACATACTGAATTTAGGAAAATCAAAATTTTCCTCAACTACCTTGGGGAACCCCACATGCTATCGGCAGGGGTTCTGATTCTGTATTGTTGATCTCGACAATTTGTTTCCTGATCTTTAGGTAGAACTTAAACCAGTTTACAGAGCCTACAAGCTATTCTTGTAGTTTCTTACATAATATGTTATGGTTAACTGTGTCGAATGCTGTTTTCGAAGTCTAAGGTCACCATACCTATGCATTGATGCGTACTCCTTCCAAGCATGAAACCATACAACTGAGGAGACAAAAAATTATTTGATTTTATGCACGAGACGATTTAGAATCATCCTCTTAACTGTTTTACACAAGCCAGCTACTGGGAGATATTGGGTGAAATACATTTTCTTGATTGTGTGGAAATGAGACTTTTGGTCCACGATTTAGGGAGCTCCCCAGTTATACAGCCCATGTTTTACAGCTCAAGCAAGGGATTTCATGGTACTTAACAGAACAGTCTGAGCATGATTTAATATTTTTCCTCTCAGGAGACGGAGAGGAACCATAAATAAAAGGACGCATGTGCAGCTAATGCGACATTTTTATTGTGGCAACGTTTTGCTCTCCATGAGCTTTGTCAAGCCGTAATGACTTGACATATTATCGGTAATTCTACCAACATTATTACAGTCATAAAGTTAGTCACCTCTCAGTCTAGGAGAAGAAAGAGTGTTGCCATCATGAACCATGTTTTTTTTACTCAATATTAGCTGAGAAGAACAATGCCCACTTACCTGTGACGATCTATATGTCACATGATGTAATATTCATGATTTACTAGAGTTGCATACTGTCATGTATTAATTATAATTTGTAAGACGACTTAATTAAGTGACGTGCTTGAAGCATCAGTCTGCAAAGGAGGGGAAAAGGGGTAATAGTTGGAGGAACAATAATATCGAATTAATGTCGAACACTCTGGTGATACACCTCTTAACAACCACGACAGCATCAAGACACTCCCTAAATATTTTTCATCATATTGCTTGAATAAATGAAGACAGGACAAGGGAACCTGTGTAAAGGAAACACCAGGATTAAGAAAAATGGAGGGTTCTTCCTGGGTCCCAATGATTAATTTGCTTCGGGTTGTCTAAGATCTACAAAGGTATCTGGGGAAGCAGGTAACCTGGGCAGTTTTAAGTATCTAGGACAACGTGTTAAAGAAATTACTGTTGAGTTGTATGGTCAAGTAGTATCGTATAGTTTTGTTTATTATGATAGACACATCATCAATCCGTCGGCGATATAAAATTGTAACTTTTCCCTTCTCTTTAACAAAAACATAATCATATAGTTCATTAGCACTTTAATTTTCATAAATCAAATTCTGAGCATAATTCATCCACCTATAAAGGTGATTATCAGTCATGATAGATGTCCCAAGTGAGGGGCAGTTACTGAAGAAACACAGAGGGAGGATCTGAGAGCCCGTCAGTCCACTCTGAAAGTGGGTAGAACTTAGTATTTTCTACATTTATCATTGCTTGTTTCATAACTCACTCTCTGAATTGTGTCGACATCATAACTCAAATGAATGAGACAAAATACAGGACCTCAAATGGGATTAAAGTTATATTAACATTGTTAGGATATCATAGGTTAAATATTTAATTATTATTATTACATGCCAGTTTAATGTACCTAAAATGCAACATTGCAAAATATTTATTTGTAACATTTGTAGGATGACTTAAACGTCAAGTTTAAGTATGACTGATTGCAATTCCATCAAGATGATCCCCAATATACACAAAGAAATCAATCTGAAAATAATCAAAATGGGAAAGGTTGTGGTCACCACCTGACTACTCCCGCATTAAGAGACACTTTTTCCTGATGAATAAAATACTCTACAAGTACCTGAGGTTAGAATCTGCGTCGGCAAGGAGTAGGAAAATTAGGATGTCACTCCGCTCATGCTCTGTGGTCTCCTTCAGTATGGAGTCAATAGTGCGGGTCAGGTAGTCGTCCTTGCGCCACACTGACGATATACCAATTGTCAGGTAGCGGGTATTGCTGTGGAGAGAGAGGAGACATGGTAGAAGACTAAATGTGGGCAAGGAAAGATACAAAGAAATTTGGAAAGATTAAAATGAATAGGCCTACATTGAGGAATAGAGCCACTCACATGGCAGCATGTGGAAATGACAGATGGCAGAAGACTTATAAGTCCACAATGAGACTAACAACTGAGATCTATGTCCTATCAAAATTAAGGACTATTGTTTATTATCTATGAGACAAAGATAAAAAGCAGAAGGCTCTCTATGCACTCACAACTATCTCCGGCCTCTGCTAGCATGAGAAATTGGGAAAATATACCATACCACACTGAAAACACGAAATTTACAGAAGGAATGGAACTATAAGGAGAGGACTACAACTACCTCTATTAAAATCGTTCCGTTTTTATCTTAATACTCATGTTACTCCACTGCCATTCACTTAGCTGTGTACTAGTAGTTCTGAGACTATCACATCAACATACTTTTACCTCTGATACTATAACTGTCTCGGTTGCTGACAAATTAAGTGCAATCCGTGGACTTGTATAATGGAACAAAATTCGCGTAAGTTTTACATAGAAACAATGCAGCACTTAGAAAGGGATTTCCTCAGCTTTGCCATCAAGTAAACACTGAGTTAGACATATTTATTTTAAAAATGTTTCGCCCGTACAGCAGACTTCTTCAGTCGAATACAGAGGAGGTAGCAGAAACAGAGGAGAGGTAAAGATGATGTAATAAGTCCATCAGCCTTGAAGAAAAAGTGTAGAGTTGGCCAGTCCCTCAGCCTGGAGAAGCGTTCGGTCCCATGGTCTAGAACAATGTGAAGCTGAAGCCAGGTAAGGCTTGTCAGGAAATAGGACAAGTGTTTCCTGACGCGGGTCATAGTCATATTATGACCCGCAGCTGGAGCTCTTGGTCATCTGATTGAGGCCTTCCGCTGGCTTACTGTTCCACTCCTTTACAAATTAAGGTTATAATTATGATCGATTTATAAGAAATCTGAAGCATGAGGATGGAACCTTTTATATAGCTATAGGTGAGTCATGGAAACTCTAGATGAAGTCACAGAATCGTATTATTGATGTTATAAAATACCGACAAGTTAATGAATAAGACACACGTGCAACACTTCGGTATCTTTATTGCTGAAACCTTCAGCCTGCACAACAGGTTTCTTCAGTCGGATACAGAAGAAAACAACACTGGAAGCAGATGATATATATAGTATTGATGTGACTACTCCTCAAGCCTCAAGCACGGGCACGCGGCCAGATATATATATACTAGAGTAAAGGCGAGATGAAGCAGCTGGAGCTGACGTCACATGCATACAGTGCTGAATACCATCAATAACATGATGATAATCTGACGCAGCAACATCATCATGGTATCTTGGTACGAGCGATTTGTGCAACTATTTTGCTTTGCTAAAACTTTTTTAGCGACACCTACTTCCACTAGCTGGTGACGCTTATATGTGACGTCAACTCCAGCTGCTTCATCTCACCTCTACACTAGTACAGAAGGTCTGGTCATTTACCTATGTTTTAAACTTGAGAGAGTGACCACCTCCCACCGAGGGTGACTGAGAAAGAGAGAGGGGGAGAATTTGAAAGGAAAGGGGTAAAATACAGAGTTGAAGAGGGTCAAATAGAGGAAGAGATGGAGTGTTAGAGGGAAAAGGGTGAAAGAGGGAGGGGAATGTCAGAGAGAGGGAAAGGGTGAAGGAGGGAGGGGAATAGCAGAGAGAGGGAGAACGTGAGAGAAAAATAGTGAAAGAAGATGAAGAGGGACAGAGAGGAAGAAGACGATAGGAAAGGGAAAGGAAGGGGCGTGAGAAAAAGAGACAGAGGTTGAGAGAGGGAGAAGGCAAAAAAAAGGGACGGTGTGCGAGGCCCAATGATCAAAAGAAAATGAATGCAGAAAACATAAATATTGAAGGGAGCTATAAAATACAGACCCCGAGAGGAAGAGAGAGAGGGAGAAAACAAATAATAGAACACAGCAGAAAGCAGTTAAACAAAAGATATCTAAAATTTCACTCTTATTTTTTGTGTGTGAACCCAACAAATAGCGCAAGGAAGATGTGTGTGCGGATAATTGGGTTATCAGTGTGGCATCAACACGCCTCCCAAACCTTACACTGAAGCAAGGATTTGTATTTAATTCAACTGACCTTGGACGGGATTCAAGGCGAGGTCCAGGTAGTATAATATCATTTTAAAACAAGTGCTTTAATGCTAGTGAAGCGGTCTTTCTCCAAGAAAATGGAGACATTCACTCTTTCGTTGAATCATAACTGATTACCCACCACAGTTTCCATAGGATCCCTACCGTTTTACCGCAGGGGTAATAATAAATGAGTAAAATGCAATCTGTGGCAAAAGTCTGGCTCATCACGAGCGAGGGATGTGTTATCAATACATTACGAAGGAGTGATACCAAGCTAGCAGCTAGGGTTTGCCCCCTTCAGTGATGGGAGGGATGCCTTCACGCTAGTGAATGGTTCCTGTTTACGGTTCTGGCCTCACAGGCTGCTCAACTTTTTTCTTTATAGTTCAGTTCTACAAGTACAATAACTTTTTCATTAACACATGGAATTCCTGTTTTTTCCCAAGTGTTATTAAATGGCGGGTTATCTGCATCTAGTATAAGCACAGATTTATACCTAAGAATATGTTGAATAATGGATCATTTTAAAAAGAAGGGGGCTTCTGGGACTGAAGAAAATTAGGGGGACGGCTGAAGTCCCGGAGCCCCGGTGGTGTCACCACTGAATTAAAGTGTGCTGGGGCGGTGAAGACATCGGAAGTGAATTAATTCTACGTGTCCACTGATAGCCAGGACAGTCTTTTACTATATTGTGAACTAACACTACAACCTGGCAGTCCTCGCAGAGCGATGAAGGTCGTTTCTCCATGAAGTATCCGCTAGCGAGGCGCATGTGGCCGATACACAGGCAGGAGAGTGCTGTCTCCTAAGATGATCGCCAAAAATCTAAACGTGGTTTGATGGAAAGCAGTTTATTAGCTTATCAGTGAGGTTTCAAATGCCCCACACCAGGGACAAGTGATATATAACTGTGAAGCCTAAACGAAAAGGAATTAGGTAATTTTTCAACAGTCATTATCCCTTAGTATTATTTTCTAAAATGAAAGTTTGAATGGATTAAACCGTCCTGTGTATTTAAGTTACCATGTGAATAGCCTACTATTTTTGTTTATAGCCTCACTGGGCTATAGAGCCCCTCCAACAACCATTAATAAAGTAGGAGGGACACTGGAGCTGAGTGAACGTTTGATGTAACAGGAGTGGAAATCTGTCAGCTCTGAGATAAATATCAATAATCACCCTTCTCTTCATCCTGGTAGCTCTATTTACTTATGATTTTAATTATGTTGGGGAAACAGCCATGAGCCTGGAGCAACGTTATAAGTGAGCACCGGAATGTATGTACTTGGGGTGACCTGTATAATGTCTGCGTCATCCACTGTAATATTCATGATTCCTTCATGAAATTCAACGAGACCAAACTCGTCATCCAGGAAGAATAATCGAACTGTGTCGTCTGGATACCTGAAGGATGCTTTCGGGGGTCAACGCCTCCCACGGCCCGGCCCCCAAACAAGGCCTGACCAATCAGACTGTTGCTGCTTGCCGCACGCATTCCAACGTGCGAACCACAGACCGGCTGGGCAAAAACTGATTTGAATAACTTATTAGGTTCCATCTTGAAGAGACCCAGAAGTTTGTTGGTAATTTCCCTTATGCACAAAGGGAGGGCGATGAAAAGTTGAGCACCTCTGACACTTATTAAGCTTTCCTTTACTGTAGTTGCTCGCCAATGCTTTCACTGGAGGTACTCTGCACCGTCTGCCAAGTCTCAGGCCTTTGTAAGGAGTGATTTTGGTGTAAATGTTTGGAACCAGTCCCTCCAGCATTTTTCACTTGCACATTATAATGTATTTCTCTCGTCTACGTTCAAGCTCTGGTGGCCTGGTGGTTAACGCTCTCGCTTCACACGGTGAGGGCCTGGGTTCGATTCCCAGCCAGAGTAGAAACATTGGACGTGTTTCTTCCACCTGTTGTCTATGTTCCCCATCAGTAAAATGGGTACCTGGGTGTTAGTCGACTGGTGTGGGTCGCATCCTGGGACACTGACCTAAGGAGGCCTGGTCACAGACCGGGCCGCGGGGGCGTTGACCCCCGGAACTCTCTCCAGGTAAACTCCAGTAGTTCAGATGTTTATTCAGATTATTTTGGGTCACTGCATATACAAAATATACAATAATGAGAAACCTCATAAGAACCATAGCATTTCGGCCATAATGTATACAGACAGTGATTTTCATTGTATACATTCTGTACGTTTCCCAGCTCAGTCTCGCTTGCCTTGAAGGTGACCGTTAGTATACAGCAGTATTCCATCCTGGAGAGAAAAAGTGACATGAAGAGTATTATCATTGTTCTTTATCTCATGTCTTGAACGTTCATGTTATCCAGCCTATCATTTTCCTTGTTGAAGCGATAGCGACTCTGTTGTGACCCTTGAATGAGAAATCTTCTGACATCACTCCCAAGATTTTGCAAAGGCGTTTGACAAATGCGATCATGGAGTGATAACGCACAAGGAAGGTAGGCAGATGGATTTTCGGTTTCCTAACATACACAACACAAAAAGTAGTAGTGAACAGGGCAAGATCCAGCATCAACGAGGTCAAAAGCTCAGTGCCCCAAGGCACTGTCCTGGCACCTCTGCTGTTCCTCATCCTCATAGCAGACATAGACAGAAACACCCGGCATACTTTTGTATCATCATTTGCAGATGACACTAAAATAAGCATGAAAGTCAGTACGGTAGAGGACGCTGAAAAAGTACAGGAAGACATAAACAGGGTTTTCCAGTGGGCAGTGGAAAACAACATGACGTTCAATGGTGATAAGTTCCAGCTGCTTAGATATGGAAAGAATGAAGAACTCAAAAGGAGCACTATATACAAAACTCAA